GTAGGGTGGCGCCGGGACGGGCGGGCCATAACCACCGAGGGGCGGCAGCGCGGGGAGGGCACCATAGCCGGCGCCAGTCGGCTGGAAGGGCGCACCGATGAACACCTGGTGGCCAGCGGGGAGAGCCTGCTGATAGTGCGGTGCCCCCCGACGTCCTGGGCCTGCGGGTGCTGCAGGCGGCGGCGACCGCCGCCACACCGGTTGCGTCGTCCCCCGCTCCCTTGCGAGTGCTGCGGGGAAGGACGCGACTAGATTGGCACGGCCGGTGAAGCGGTTCCACCGCAGATGGTGAAGTAGCCTGGAGAGTCCATAGAAGGCGTCAGAGGCGACGGGAAGAGGAAGGGGCAGCGGCGGCACACGGGAGCGCGCGGCGGCGGTGCGGCGCGGCGGGTTAGGGTTGTGGCGCGATGGGGCGGCAGCGGCACGGCAGGGGGCGCGCGGCGGCGGCAGTAAGTCAGCGCAACGGGTGGGAGCAGAAGCGACGCGGCGGCACGGGGAGCGGCGGCGCGCGAGGGGGTGCTACACGGCGGCGGGGAGTGGCGGCGGCGGCGGCGCGCGTGGGGAGGACTTTCAAGATGATACCATGTAGACGGGAAAGTTTGCAATACAATGAACGTTGTATTGATGGAGTGTTGGTATACATATATATAATATAAAAGAATACATTTACCTCAACTATACAAAACTAAAGATGAACTACAACTCCAATACACATGCAATACAAAACATATAGTCAACACTAGTAAACAATCAGAAATGCAACTTGTGTTGTGCTGCGAGACGCTGATCTCTCCGGCGGCGGCGGGTGGAGCTGCAATGCAATGCGTTGGGTGTCGTGCGCTGCTGATCGCCGGCCACGGAAGCTGCAGTGCAACGGTGCTGTTGCTGCGGAGGAGAGGGTTGTGGCCGGTGCGGCTGCCACGGGACGTGAGGATGACGTCTCTCTTCTCCTACTGTGTTGTTACGATTGCCTCACGTCAGCGGGATAACGTCTCTCTTCTTGGATCTCTATAAATAGAAGATCCAGGGATCGCTCTATCCGACATCCCATCTCTCCATCTACATCCTAAGTGTAGCACGCTGCAGCCACATTGCTAATGGCAGCCATGCCTCTAGCTCTAGGTGCACCGAGCCATCAGAGTAAATAGCATAAAACTACTACTTTACAGGCTAAGGTTTCAAAAAACTACCGATTTTTAATTTTTCTTAGATAACTACCAAATAGGCGGTCGGCTGTTTCAAAAAACCCAAATCATCGAGTCTTTATCAGTTGATCACGATTATGACAGGTTGGGCCCACGGCTAAACAAACCGTTAGTTTGACCTTAGTTTGACCGTTAACTTACATGAGGGGCCCACATGTAAGTTTCTTCTTCCTCTTCTATTTTTTCTTTCTCTGCCTCCTGTGCCAGACATCTCCTCTCCCGAGCCAGCGACCCCCTCCCCCTCCCAAGCCGGCGACCCCCTCCTCCTCCCACGCCGGCGAACCTCCCCACAAGCCGGTGGCGACGGTTGCAACGAGGCCGGCCTCGTCCGAGACACTCCAGCAGCGGTGCATGCCATCTGCGTCGAGCTTGAGGAGCTCGGGCCAGGGGATGGCGGCAGCCGCGGGCGAGGCACGGCGTGGGGGCGGCGTGGAGACCTGAGCGGAGCCCCATGGCCGGCGGCGCCCCAGGCGGCTCCCGATGGTGCGCGGTGGCGCGGCGACCCGAGCCAGAGCCCCATGCCTGCCGGTGCTCCAGGCGGATCCCTATGGCGCGCAGCGGCGCGAGGACCTGAGCCGGAGCCCCACGGCGGCGCGCCCGGCGACCACCCCGACCACCCAGGCTGCGGGCGCGGCGACCACGGGCGAAGCCCCATGGTGCAAGGGCGACCACGGGCAGAGCCCTTTGGAGGCGTGGCGGCGACAGCCTAAGGACCCGATTGCTTTTTTAAAATGATCCCAGGGACCCGATTGCTTTTTAAAAATATTTGTAAGGGCTAATCTGTAAAAAATCTGTTGATGAGGCGCTGACATGTGGCCCCCACAAGTCAGTTAACGGTCAAACAAACGGTCAACCAAACGGTGTGTTTAGTGGCGGGCCCGACGTGTCATAAACATGTTTAATTTTTTAACAAAGAGAATTTGGAGTTTTTTGAAACAGTCAACCCCTGACTTGGTAGTTATCTGAGAAAAATTAAAAATCGATAGTTTTTTGAAACCCTAGCCTGTAAAATAGTAATTTTATATGCTATTTACTCGAGCCATCATGGTTCATCTTCCTTCTCTTCCACAGTATCATCAGCTCGGCGAGCGGTCCCGGTGCCGGAGGCTTGTCGGACATTGAGCAACGCTCGCCACACAGTCTCCACAGTTGGCTGCACCGTCACCGTCACCGCCACCACCATAACCACCACCACTTTGGCCGAAGTGGACACGGTCGCGCACCGAGCTGCTCCCCGCGGTTTCAACCTCACGTTGTCGAATATCAAGATGAAGGCCACCGTGACGGTGCACATGAAAAGTTTCTGGTCAGGACTTGAAAAAAATAACTTCCGTGTCTGAGAAGGCCGCTTGCACAACCAGAAACTGAACGATCTCCTTCACCGAGAGTGGCTACAACTTGAGCTCGTCTCGGAGTTGGATCCAGGTGACAAGGCTCCCTTGTACTGTCCTCTTCACTTCCGCCCCCTTAATCCAGCATGCATATAATTTCTTCTTTTTCTTGTCGTTCAAAGAAACATAATTTGTTTTTTCCAAAGGCAGCCATCTCTATGCTATACGGACTCCCTATGGATGCCTAATTGCCTATGAGTACCTGCTTTATCAAAATTCCATGCTAACATGAAAATTAATTTAATTAGGTAATTCAACAACAACAATACTACATAATAGATGGATAACAATAATAAATTCAACAACAGTAGTAATTCTTCTCACAAAAAAAAAAGCAACAACAACAATGGTAGTAGGTAATTCTTGAATAACAAAATGAATCATAAAAGTTACATAAATTCTGGATGTAGCTAGATAGAAAATGAACTCCCAAACATATATACCCAAAAATAAGCCGAGAAAAATAACATAGTATACATGCATGGTTTTAAGGGTAATGATACAACCCGACATACAAAAATTCAGAAATCAGAATGAAGGTGGAATGATATAGGCCAAAAGTTGGAATGAAAAAATAGTCACCAAGAATCGGAGCGGGGCCTTAGACCTGAATGTATATATGGTTGTTGGCTGTGGGTGCAGAAGAGCGGGAAGATCCGGTCTCCAGTTATTGCAAATACTCGGGTACAGGAGCCGATGAGGAGTTCTACACGTACGAGGCCACCTTCACGGTGCCGGCATCGTTCGCGCCCATCGGCGCCGTGCGCGTGGTGAACGACCAAAACACCGAGATGTTGCTAGCTAGGAGAGGTAAGCATCTTCCCCGCCGACCAGGGCCCGGAGTCGTCCAGCGCTACGTTATTCCACTGCAACTCGTCTCGTGGATCCACCCCTCGCACAGCAGCCACGACAAGCGTACTTTCTTCCCTGTCACGGTCAGTACCCTACCCTGCATGCCCTAAACTAAACCAACTTCACAACACACTGGCATGCAATTACCTTACCAGCAGCTACCATCGTGCCTGCGTGTGGTGCACTACTCTTACCTCCCGTCGCAGACGCCCGAGGGCATGAAGAGGCTGCGCAGCAGTGAGCTACTGGCCATCCGCGGCGACGGCACCGGCGAGCGCAAGCCACACCAGCGCATCTACGACTATGACGTCTACAACGACCTCGGCAACAAGCGACCTGTCCTCGGGGGTGAAAAGCGCCCCTACCCGCGACGCTGCCGCACGGGCCGCCGTCACTACAAGCAAGGTACGTACCGCGCCGCCGTACTAGCTAGCTACTCCTCTCGCTTGTCTAAAAAAAACCACTCCGTGTAGTGTTAAAAACGCTTTTATATTATGGAACTACACTAGATGAATCTTGTCGTGCAGATGCAGCTTCAGATGCACCTTCGGAAATGAGGGCCACCGACAAGATTTATGTGCCCCGGGATGAGGCGTTCACGGAGATAAAAGACGCGGCGTTCATAAGAGAGTTGGTTTATTTTGTCCGTGGCACACGCGGCCTGCACGCTCAAGTTCAAGGATATGAAAGACCACAGGAGCCACAGGAGCCCTCGCAATCGCAACCGCACACACAAGCGGAGATTGTCGGGGTCATGATAGGTTTTGTTGTGGATGAGCTGGAGCACCTCCTCCATGGAGCGCACCTTTGCGAGGAGATCCGCAGGTTCTTGAAGTTCGAAACGCCGGAAATTCATGATAGTACGTACTCCTACTGTAGTAGTACTACTAGTAGAGATTTGCATGCTTAATACAGTATAGCTTCTAGTACTAGTAGCTATAGAGGAGTAGTAGTACTTGTTAATTTATATGCATCCATGCATGTTGAAAAATGATGCAGAGGACAAGTTTGCTTGGTTCAGAGATGAGGAGTTTGCGCGACAAACCCTTGCAGGGATGAACCCACTGAGCATCCAACTAGTCACGGTACACTATCCACTCTATATATGTTCAGTTATATACATAGTATCAGTTCATCACCATTACCATATATAGATGCATGTGTATGGTACCTTGAAAACTGCGCATGAATGCAGGAGTTGCGTATCGTCAGCAAGCTGGACGGGCCATCCCTTATCACTAAAGAGCTGATTGAAGAGCAGATAAACGGTGTCATGACAGCTGAGGAGGTGAGAATTAAACAAGGAAGAAAGAAGCATGATGCATGCATTAGCATAACTAACTTGTCGGTTGAGCATATATATATGTACAGGCCATGAGTAAGAAGAAGCTGTTCATGCTGGACTACCACGACATGTTCCTGCCATTCGTACACAAGGTGCGCATGCTTGAGGACACGACGTTGTATGGGTCGCGCACGCTCTTCTTCCTGACAGGGGACGGCACACTCCGGCCGATCGCCATCGAGCTGACGAGGCCTGAGTCACAGGATCATGGCCGTCGCAGCTCGCCATCCCCGACCAAGGACGAGTTGGCGCCAGGTCTTCACGCCGGGATCCAGCGTCACAGAATCCTGGCTGTGGCAGCTCGCCAAGTCCCATGTCCTGGCTCATGACACCGGCTACCACCAGCTCGTTAGCCACTGGTACGTCTACGTCCCAGTCTAATTATTCATTCACAGCGCGTGCATGCCTGATTGTTTTGCGTTTCCTCACATGCCAGGCTGAGGACGCACGGTTGTGTTGAACCGTACATCATCGCGGCTAACCGGCAGCTGAGCCGGATGCACCCCGTCTACCAGCTGCTGCACCCGCACTTCCGGTACACCATGGAGATAAACGCTCAGGCGCGCCAGATGCTCATCGACGCGGGTGGGATCATCGAGAGCACCTTTTCGCCGGGAAGATACTGCATGGAGCTCAGCTCCGTGGTTTACGACAAGTTCTGGCGGTTCGTCATGGAGGCTCTGCCGGAAGATCTCATCCGGAGGGGCATGGCGATCAGAAGGGAGGATGGCAAACTGGGGTTGGCCATAGAGGACTACCCGTACGCCAACGATGGCCTCATGGTCTGGGATGCCATCAAGCAGTGGGCGTCCGACTACGTGAAGTGCTACTACTCATGCGCGGAGGACATCATCGACGACCAGGAGCTCCAAGGTTGGTGGACGGAGGTGCGAACCAAAGGCCACGAGGATAAGAAGGACGAGCCGTGGTGGCCGGTGCTGGACAGCCACGAGAGTCTCGTCCAAGTCTTGGCCGCCATCATGTGGGTCACGTCCGCGCACCACGCCGCCGTCAACTTTGGCCAGTACCCCATGGCTGGGTACATCCCCAACCGCCCAACCACAACCCGGAAGAACATGCCGCCGGAGATGGGCGGCCCCGACTCCAAGGAGATGCGCGCGTTTCTGGAGGAGCCGGAGAGGGTGCTGCTGGACACCTTCCCATCCCAGTACCAGAGTGTCGTGGTCATGCTGGTACTGAACCTCCTGTCCTCACACTCGCCAGACGAGGAATACATGGGCACGTACCAAGAGCTTGTTTGGAGCAAGGAAGAGAAGATCAAAGAGGCTTTTGACAGGCTCAAATCCAAAATGATAGACATCGCGGCGCAGATCGACACCGGTATTGAGGGTTTCCCCGTGTAACTTTGGGGATGGGCCGGCCCAATACCGGGGTACCGAACGGGCTGTGGGGAATTTCGGGGATTTCTATACCGGGCCGGGAAAATACCCTTTAAAACGTGGACATACTCTAGTGCCGAACGAGGCCTGATGGGGATGGGCATCCCGTACAGCATCTCCATTTGAGATTGAGATGTGCCGCGCTGCATGGATGAGCTAGCCGTTCATGGAGTAGTACTGTGTATAAATATATATACTACCTTACTAGATGATACTTTGCACGCTGCCACAAAAATTGGCTGATTGAAGCATGAATGTTTTGGATTAATAATATGAGATCTTTGAATATAGAGATGATTTATTGTATTCGATCATTGTCTAGTTATAAAATATATATTAAATATAAATACCATAATAGCTTTTCATGCAAGGTTGCCCGTTGAGTGAGTTGTCTTTTCGCATGCATGATTGTATAATGAGAAAACCAACTCTTCATAAATAGTTACATGTTGAGGTGGCATGTTGCATTACTACTGAAATCACCCTGATTGCTGAGTGTCTTTTCTTGGACACTTGTGCAAAATTATGAAATGCAAGAAAAATAAAGGCAAACCTACTCTCACCCCCTTCTATATCATAAAGAAAAGATATATTTTATACTTCCCTAAGAAGAAAGAAGTGCCTCTATATTTACATTATAGATTTATGTATCACAATCCATCTCGAGATATTTGGATCAATACCTATTTTGTGATGCTTTGAAAGAAGCTTGTACAGTTTGGGAAGGGGGGTTTTTTGAGAGAAAAAAAGAATCTACTTCAACCGATGTGCCCTTAGGCATGGCCATGCATTAATCATTTTGTCAATCCTTATTCTTTAATATTTTTCTTTAGTTTTGTTTCACTCATGCAAGAAACTATTGTATTGTAAGAAAGAGCCATTATACCAATTCAGAATTTCTACTAGAAATGACGGATAGTTAAGAAGTTCGCCAAACAATCCCTTTGTTGAGTGCTTCAAAAAATACACTTGGCATACTCACGGTTTCTCTAGTGTTACACTCCGCAAATAAAGAACACCCGGCAAAGACCAAACTATGTCACATGTTTCTTATTACACTCTGCATTTTCCCCTTTTCTATTTTATTTTATTTTTTTGTCATTTCATTCTTTCATTTTGTTTATTCTCTTTTATTTATTTTCTTTCATTTCTTTGTGTAACATGAAAAATTGGTAAAATAGTTTGAAAACTCCCATATGTCTTCTTGTCTCTATGTTTAGGCCCTATCCAAAGAAAGAAAAGGTGTTCCAAACACACAGAATGTTATAGCCATTTCTTTTGCAATGAAAATGCTGAGGAGACAACATTGCATCTTTTTGGGAATTGTACCTAGCAGTGCATCAAGGACATAATTCTTTTGTGCAGTAATGAGGATAATCCTCAGATCATGAATCCAATCCGCATCATTGCTACTAATATTTTTCAATTTAGTTTTCTCTAGGAACATATCAAAAATAAAACTAAGGAGCTAAACGCGAGCTATTGATCTACAACATAGATATGCTAATACTACCAGAACTAAGTTCATGATAAATTTAAGTTCAATTAATCATATTACTTAAGAACTCCCACTTAGAAAGACATCCTTCTAATCTTCTAAGTGATCACGTGATCCAAATCAACTAAACCATAACCGATCATCACGTGAAATGGAGTAGTTTTCAATGGTGAACATCACTATGTTGATCATATCTACTATATGATTCACGCTCGACCTTTCGGTCTTAGTGTTCCGAGGCCATATCTGCATATGCTAGGCTCGTCAAGTTTAACCTGAGTATTCTGCGTGTGCAAAACTGGCTTGCACCCGTTATAGATGGACGTAGAGCTTATCACACCCGATCATCACGTGGTGTCTGGGCATGACGAACTTTGGCAATGGTGCATACTCAGGGCGAACACTTTTTATCTTGAAATTTAGTGAGAGATCATCTTATAATGCTACCGTCAATCAAAGCAAGATAAGATGCATAAAAGATAAATATCACATGCATTCAAAATGTGTGACATGATATGGCCATCATCATCTTGTGCCTTTGATCTCCATCTCCAAAGCATCGTCATAATTTCCATCGTCACAGGCATGACACCATGATCTCCATCATCTTGATCTATATCAATGTGTCTTCACATGGTCGTCTCGCAAACTATTGCTCTTGCAACTATTGCTATCGCATAGCGATAAAGTAAAGCAATTATTTGGCGCTTGCATCTTATGCAATAAAGAGACAACCATAAGGCTTCTGCCAGTTGCCGATAACTTCAACAAAACATGATCATCTTATACAACAACTTATATCTCATCACGTCTTGACCATATCACATCACAACATGCCCTGCAAAAACAAGTTAGACGTCATCTACTTTGTTGTTGCAAGTTTTACGTGGCTGCTACGGGCTTAGCAAGAACCGTTCTTACCTACGCATCAAAACCACAACGATAGTTTGTCAAGTTGGTGCTGTTTTAACCTTCGCAAGGACCGAGAGTAGCCACACTCGGTTCAACTAAAGTTGGAGAAACTGACACCCGCTAGTCACCTGTGTGCATAGCACGGCGGTAAAACCAGTCTCGCGTAAGCGTACGCGTAATGTCGGTTCGGGCCGCTTCATCCAACAATACCGCCGAACCAAGGTGTGACATGCTGGTAAGCAGTATGACTTATATCGCCCACAACCCACTTGTGTTCTACTCGCGCATATTACATCAACGCATAAAACCTGGCTCTGATACCACTTTTGGGGAACGTAGTAATTTCAAAAAAATTCCTACGCACACGCAAGATCATGGTGATGCATAGCAACGAGAGGAGAGAGTGTTGCCCATGTACCCTCATAGACCGAAAGCGGAAGCGTTAGCACAACGCGGTTGATGTAGTCGTACGTCTTCACGATCCGACCGATCAAGTACCGAACGCACGGCACCTCCGAGTTCTGCACACGTTCAACTCGACAACGTCCCTCGAACTCCGATCCAGCCGAGTGTTGAGGGAGAGTTTCGTCAGCACGACGGCGTGGTGACGATGATGATGTTCTACCGACGCAAGGCTTCGCCTAAGCACCGCTACAATATGATCGAGGTGGATTATGGTGGAAGAGGGCACCGCACACGGTTAAGAGATCAAGAGATCAATTGTTGTGTCTTTGGGGTGCCACCTGTCCCCGTATATAAAGGAGTGGAGGAGGGGGAGGGCCGGCCCTCTCTATATATGGCGCGCCCTAGGGGAGTCCTACTCCCATCGGGAGTAGGATTTCCCCTTTCCTAGTAGAACTAGGAGCCCTTCCAAGTAGTAGGAGTAGGAGGGAAGGAAAGGGAAGGGAAAATGAGAAGGAAGGAAGGGGGCGCCCCCCTCCCTAGTCCAATTCGGACCAGCCCATGGGGAGGGGTGCGGCCACCTTTTGAGGCCTTTCTCTCCTTTCCCGTATGGCCCATTAAGGCCCAATACGAATTCCCGTAACTCCCCGGTGAAGGAAATATGCCCTAGAGGCAATAATATAGTTATTATTTATTTCCTTATATCATGATAAATGTTTATTATTCATGCTAGAATTGTATTAACCGGAAACATAATACATGTGTGAATACATAGACAAACTTAGTGTCACTAGTATGCCTCTACTTGACTAGCTCGTTAATCAAAGATGGTTATGTTTCCTAACCATGAACAAAGTGTTGTTATTTGATTAACGAGGTCACATCATTTGTTGAATGATCTGATTGACATGACTCATTCCATTAGCTTAGCACCCGATCGTTTAGTATGTTGCTATTGCTTTCTTCATAACATATACATGTTCCTATGACTATGAGATTATGCAACTCCCGTTTGTCGGAGGAACACTTTGGGTGCTACCAAACGTCACAACATAACTGGGTGATTATAAAGGAGCATTACAGGTGTCTCCAAAGGTAGATGTTGGGTTGGCGTATTTCGAGATTAGGATTTGTCACTCCGATTGTCGGAGAGGTATCTCTGGGCCCTCTCGGTAATGCACATCACTTAAGCCTTGCAAGCATTACAACTAAATGAGTTAGTTGCGGGATGATGTATTACAGAACGAGTAAAGAGACTTGCCGGTAACGAGATTGAACTAGGTATAGGAATACCGACGATCGAATCTCGGGCAAGTAACATACCGATGACAAAGGGAGCAACGTATGTTGTTATGCGGTCTGACCGATAAAGATCTTCGTAGAATATGTAGGAGCCAATATGGGCATCCAGGTCCCGCTATTGGTTATTGACCGGAGACGTGTCTCGGTCATGTCTACATTGTTCTCGAACCCGTAGGGTCCGCACGCTTAAGGTTACGATGATAGTTATATTATGAGTTTATGCATTTTGATGTACCGAAGGTTGTTCGGAGTCCCGGATGTGATCACGGACATGACGTTGAGTCTCGAAATGGTCGAGACGTAAAGATTGATATATTGGAAGCCTATGTTTGGATATCGAAAGTGTTCCGGGTGAAATCGGGATTTTACCGGAGTACCGGGAGGGTTACCGGAACCCCCCGGGAGCTATATGGGCCATAGTGGGCCTTAGTGGAAAAGAGAAGGGGCTGCCCTAGATGGGCTGCGCGCCTCCCCCTTCCCCTAGTCCTATTAGGACTAGGAGAGGTGGCCGGCCCCCTCCTCCTCTTTTCCCCCTCCGCGAATCCTATTCCAACTAGGATTGGGGGGGGGGGGGAATCCTACTCCCAGAGGGAGTAGGACTCTCCTGGCGCGCCAAGCTTGGCCGTCCAGCCTCCCCCCTCTAGTCTTTTATATACTAAGGTAGAGGCACCCTAGAACACACAAGTTGATCCACGTGATCTATTCCTTAGCCGTGTGTGGTGCCCCCAGCCACCATATTCCTCGATAATACTGTAGCGGGGTTTAGGCGAAGCCCTGTTGCTGTAGTGCATCAAGATCGTCACCACGCCGTCGTGCTGACGGAACTCTTCCCCGACACTTTGCTGGATCGGAGTCCGGGGATCGTCATCGAGCTGAATGTGTGCTCGAACTCGGAGGTGCCGTAGTTTCGGTACTTGATCGGTTGGATCGTGAAGACGTACGACTACTTCCTCTACATTACGTCAACGCTTCCACAGTCGGTCTGCGTGGGTACGTAGACAACACTCTCCCCTCTCGTTGCTATGCATCACCATGATCTTGTGTGTGCGTAGGAAATTTTTTGAAATTACTACGAAACCCAACACCCGGTACTCCCGAAAATACCCGAATCACTCGGAACCTTTCCGATGTCCGAATATAGTCGTCCAATATATCGATCTTTACGTCTCGACCATTTCGAGACTCCTCGTCATGTCCCCGATTTCATCCGGGACTCTGAACTCCTACGGTACATCAAAACACATAAACTCATAATATAACCGTCATCGAACTTTAAGCGTGCGGACCCTACGGGTTCAAGAACTATGTAGACATGACCGAGACACGTCTCCGGTCAATAACCAATAGCGGAACCTAGATGCTCATATTGGCTCCTACATATTCTACGAAGATCTTTATCGGTCAAACCGCATAACAACATACGTTGTTCCCTTTGTCATCGGTATGTTACTTGCCCGAGATTCGATCGTCGGTATCTCAATACCTAGTTCAATCTCGTTACCGGCAAGTCTCTTTACTTGTTGCATAATGATACAACCATTTCTCCATCAATAATTGCATATAGAGGTCGCATGTTGCATCACTACGTGTCTTCTTGTAGTGTGTATAAACATATACCCTTTCTAGATGATACTCCACGTGCGACAAAAAATGACTTATTGGAATATGGATATTTGGATTAATAATATGAGATATTTGAATATATATATATATATATATATATATATTATTTATTGTATTTGATCATTGTATAGTTATAAAATATATATTGAATATAAGGACTATCATAGTTTTTCATGCAATGTTGCGTGTTGGGTGGGTCTTTTCGCATGCATGATTGTATAATGAGAAAACCAACTCTCCATAAATAGTTACATGTTGAGGTGGCATGTTGCATTACTACTGAAATCACCCTGATTGCCGAGTGTCTTTTCTTGGACACTTGTATAAAAATATGAAATGCAAGAAAAATAAAGGCAAACCTACTCTCACCCCCTTCTATATCATAAAGAAAAGATATATTTTTATACTTCCCTAATAAGAAAGAAGTGCCTCTATATTTACATTATAGATTTATGTATCATAATCCATCTCGAGATATTTGGATCAATACCTATTTTGTGATGCTTTGAAAGAAGCTTGTACAGTTTGGGAAGGGGGGTCTTTTGAGAGAAAAAAAGAATCTACTTCAACCGATGTGCCCTTAGGCATGGCCATGCACTAATCATTTTGTCAATCCTTATTCTTTAATATTTTTCTTTAGTTTTGTTTCACTCATGCAAGAAACTATTGTATTGTAAGAAAGAGACATTATACCAATTCAGAATTTCTACTAGAAATGACGAATGGTTAAAAAGTTCGCCAAACAATCCCTTTGTCGAGTGCTTCAAAAAATACACTTGGCATACTCACGGTTTCTCTAGTGTTACACTCCGCAAATAAAAAACACCCGGAAAAGACCAGACTATGTCATGTGTTTCTTATTACACTCTGCATTTTCCCCTTTTCTATTTTATTTTATTTTTTGTCATTTCATTCTTTCATTTTGTTTATTCTCTTTTATTTATTTTCTTTCATTTCTTTGTGTAACATGAAAAATTGGTAAAATAGTTTGAAAACTCCCATATGTACTCTTGTCTCTATGTTTAGGCCCTATCCAAAGAAAGAAAAGGTGTTCCAAACACACAGAATGTTATAACCATTTCTTTTGCAATGAAAATGCTGAGGAGACAACATTGCATTTTTGTTGGGATTGTACCTTTGCTTAAATATGTTGGTTATCCATTCTACCCAACTAGCAGAGAGGAATCTCTGTATATGATGAAATAACCTTAGCTACTGAAGGAGTGAAGGCCTGCCTAAAAAAGATTACTATTGATATTATCATCCTAGGATGTTGAAATAGTTCTTTATATATCTGCTTTAGATTGGTTTGTTGAAATAATAGGAGTCATAGGAGTGGGATAATACTCAAAATGATGTCTCGGCAATAAGCACATGTTTTTTGAAAGCATGACATTACTCTCCTAGGTCACAAAATCAAGAGCAAAAATGTCGAATGTTTACATGGATGGGCAGTGTCGTGATTTTGTCACGGCAGATGTCCTAGTGTGAGGACTTAGTCGTGAGGCCATCGCTGCTAAGTGGTGGCTTGAGTGGGGCTGATTGAAATCGAGAAGACGTGAGTTTTACCCAGGTCCGGCCCCTCATGGTCGAGGTAAAAGCCTACATCCTGCTTAATTTATATTGATCATCATGGTCTCGATTACAAGGGCGCTCTTTTGCTGCCTCTATCTCGAGAGCTATCAAAACACCTGTCACGAGACTCGTCTGTCTAAAACCTTGTCTATCTTTTCTAACTTGTCCCTCTTGGGGTGCCCTGCCCCTCCTTATAGAAGTTGAAGGGGCGGCTTACATGTAGAGTCCTAGTAGGATTAGGATTAATCTATTCTGGCTTTTTGTAGCGGGCTTCTTACCGCGGGCAACTTATCGCAACCATCTTATCTTGGGCTTCTTATCTCCGGGACTCATCTTCCGGGCGACTTAAGCCCAAAGATGACTTAACGTCAGGGCGGCTTAAGCCAAGAGATGACTTATCATCAGGGCGGCTTAAGTCCAGAGATGACTTAACGTCAGGGCGGCTGAAGTCCAGAGATGACTTAACGTCAGGGAGACTTAAGCCCAGAGATGACTTAACGCCAGGGAGACTTAAGCCCAAAGATGACTTATCTCCAGAGAGACTTAAGCCCAGAGATAAGTAATTTTCAGAGAGACTTAAGCCCAGAGATGACTTATCTTCAGAGAGACTTAAGCCCAGAGATGACTTATCTTCAGAGAGACTTAAGCCCAAAGATGACTTATCCTCGGGGCGGCTTAAAATCCTAATATGCTAGGTATACAAGATTAGCAAAAACTTTCTTATGAGTGTGTTGAATACTAAGAGAAGTTTGATGCTTGATGATTGTTTTGAGATATGGAGGTAATAATATCAAAGTCATGCTAGTTGAGTAGTTGTGAAATTGAGAAAAACTTGTGTTGAAGTTTGCAAGTCCCGTAGCATGCACGTATGGTAAATGTTATGTAACAAATTTGAAACATGAGGTGTTATTTAATTGTCCTTCTTATGAGTGGCGGTCGGGGACGAACGATGGTCTTTTCCTACCAATCTATCCCCCTAGGAGCATGCGCGTAGTGCCAAGGTTTTTGATGACTTGTAGATTTTTGCAATAAGTATGTGAGTTCTTTATGACTAATGTTGAGTCCATGGATTATACGCACTCTCACCCTTCCATCCTTGCTAGCCTCTTCGGTACCGTGCATTGTCCTTTCTCACATTGAGAGTTGGTGCAAACTTCGCCGGTGCATCCAAACCCCGTGATATGATACGGCTGGGTTATGTCAATCACATCATTCTTTAGTGATGTAATCCCGTTAATCAAATGACAACCCATGTCTATGGTTAGGAAACATAACCATCATTGATTCAACGAGCTAGTCAAGTAGAGGCAAACTAGTGACACTCTGTTTGTCTATGTATTCACACATGTACTAAGTTTCCGTTTAATACAATTCTAGCATGAATAATAAACATTTATCATGATATAAAGAAATAAAATAACAACTCTATTATTGACTTTAGGGCATATTTCCTTCACATCCTGCTACCGATGATAAGAAACGCACACGAGGGCGCCAGCCATGGTCGCCACCGCACCAGCACGTGATCCCAGCCGTCCGGATCCGTCAAGAGCAGAGCATCAACAAAGCCGCCACAACGCCGCCTGCACCCGGCCACGCACGAACCGGAAGTCCACCACGCGGATACACGATGGCCCTGGAATCCCATCGCCCGTTGCCCCGCACGAACCGGAAGCCCACTCGCCGGAAGACCCCCACCGGGAGGGAAGGGAGTGCATCCATGAGGTGTAAGTTCAAACCCCCCCTATTCGCATCTTGCTTCTGAATTTTTGAAAGTGGCTTTACAACGATCGACTGCGGAGAGTCTACATGGGGTTGATCTTGCGCCGAGATCGGTGTGAGAGGCGGAAGAAAGGAATACTTTTTTTCTCTTTTTTCTCCCTCAACAGTTATACCACGTGGCATTCCTAATCAGCTGTCACCCCGCAACGGGTGAACCAGCCGGCTCGCTGCCTCTCCCAATCCAAATGGCTCGTGCCGTCTCTCGCCTCCTCCCCTTTCTCCTATGGCGGCCTCCCCGACCTCTCCTCCTCCGCCGCCGCCCACTAAACCCTAGCCCCCAACCCCTGACCACGCGCGCCAAAGCCCTCGCCTCCTTCAGCTCCCTCGTGCTGCCCGGCGACGAGCGCTCGCCTCCGTCTTCTCCCTCGCGCCGCGCGCCGCCGAGCTATGGGGGCGGCGGATCTCCGGGGACGATCGCCGCCGTCGTCACCGCCCTCGGCGGGGGCCCCGCGGCCGTCGGCATTGTCCGCCTGTCCGGCGCCGACGCCGTCGCCGTCGTCGCCCGCGTGTTCCGGCCGGCCAGGAAGGACCCGGCGCCCTGGAATCCCCGAAGCCACTTCGTGGAGTACGGGGTCGCGCTGGACGGAGATGGGAGCGTCATCGATGAGGTATACTGCTCGCTATCGGTTGGTTAGTGTTCTCTGTGCAAACTAGTGCCTTGATTTCCCATTTTGTTCCCCAAATCTGAAGGTGCTGGTGGTGCCCATGCTGGCTCCGAGGTCCTACACCCGAGAGGATGTGGTGGAGCTCCAGTGCCATGGGAATGACCTTTGCTTGCGTCGTGTGCTGAGGGCCTGCTTGGAGGCTGGTGCCAGGCTCGCCGACCCTGGTTAGTTGCTTGCTCACTCAAGTCCTACTGGTCTAGATTATTTACGCTTGTAAAGAAATATTGTAGTTCAGTTGGTTACGGCTATGGTTGACGTTCCTGTTAGCTACGGATGTAATTATAGTTATAGGGAAACAGTTTTGTCAGATAGGCAGACACTTTTTGTTTGAAGAATGAATGGTGAAGCTATCTTGGGATGTAGGTGTCTTATCTTGAACAAACTCCTAGCTCAGGTTTCATGTTCGCTTTTCAGGTGAATTCACTCTTCGCGCATTCCTAAATGGGAGGTTGGACTTGGCTCAAGCGGAGAACGTCTCGAGGCTTATTTCAGCCAAGTCTGTAGCTGCAGCAGATTCTGCCTTGGCTGGCATCCAGGCATGTCACAAAATTATGCTGTTGATAAATTAAATCATGTTAGCCTGTTGGGTAGGCCCTGAGAAACGATATACATGTGGTCATGTTGGAGTTTTTTTTTGTGTGTGTTTAACCCTCGAAATACCAGGAACAAATTGTTTCCAGGTCAGGAGTAGCTGAAACAACACTTTATGGAGGGTAGTGACCAGGGGTGGTGCCAGGGGCTGCTCCTGTTACATGCGACCCCCCAAAAGACAAAAAATAGAGATAGCAGTTAGAGTAATATGTCAGTGATTAGTGAAATGTGAAAAGGAAATTGAATATTGTTGTTCTGATCACTAAAATGTGGAGGGGAAATTTGCATTTATGTGCAAGACTTGCTTTTTTCCTTGTGCACGCCGATAACAAATTCCTGACTCAGACACTACTTGAAACCCTTTTGCATTGTGAAGTTTAACTTCATCAGCTCCAGTTTCTTTGGGAAGCACAATGTAGATGTGTTTTTTTAATAATAAGTAGGTTCTCCAATCTGAATTATATGTGTCCTCTACTGTAGGGAGGCTTTTCTACTCTAGTGAAATCTTTGAGATCAAGGTGCATAGAATTGATCACTGAAATTGAGGCTCGTTTAGATTTTGAAGATGAGATGCCTCCATTGGACCCTATGATGCTGCTCAGCAAAATTAACAGCATGAGGCAAGAGGTTCAGGATGCTCTGGATACTGCAAAGTATGATAAGCTGTTGCTGTCTGGTCTACAGGTACTTTATTCTATGCATTATACTGAATTGTTAAAGAAAACATAATTAAGAATGAAAAATGCTCTTACAATTTTGCACAGATAGCAATAATTGGCCGCCCAAATGTTGGAAAGTCAAGCCTCCTGAATGCATGGAGTAAGGTATACTCGTGGATATCTCTCTGTCATTATTTCTGTTGGATATTTGTCCAGCATATCTTTTTTAGTACTCTATTTTGTTGTTACCATGCTTGTTAATCTATGTTGTTTTCTCTTTTTATATGCGAAGTTACATGAGCTAATCTTATTGTTACGGGTTCAAGGCTAGTTAAGGTATGGGGTCATTAACCGGTACACAAGGCAGCATGAAGGAACTCTCTTAAAAATAGATTAGTTAGGATTAAGATATGGAATTAATTAATATTAGGTAAGTGTGTTGTGTATTCTCCTTTCACATATGTTTGGTTGTTAGCCATCGAGATTAATTAAGCAAGAAAACGCAAGGGATACCATCCATTTTTCATCCTCCCCTCAAGAGCACTGGTCCATCTTTCTCTCCGCAAACCTAGACCCCTAGAACTTTTATGATACCTTTCTGCTGTGACTTTAAATGAGCCGTACCGAAACTCCGGTAGATGCCTAATGCCATGTGATTTAAGGGGATCTTGCTCAACGTACTGTGTCCTGAACTTTATCCTGCTTCTCTGCTGTGCGTCATGCCCAAAGTTTATACATCGAACGTTATCGCCATATAATCTTCTTATATGAATACTAATTGTAATCTATAATTCTGTATACTTTATGTGAATCCCATGTCCAATTGGATAGTTTGATTTATTTCATGTTGCAGCCATAATAGTTGATACTGGAACTTAAATGCTTAGCTTGCAGAGTGAAAGAGCTATTGTTACCGAAATAGCTGGAACTACAAGGGACGTAGTTGAAGCAAATGTCTCAATTCATGGAATCCCTGTTACCCTTCTAGACACGGCTGGTATAAGAGAAACTGATGACATTGTGGAAAAAATTGGTGAGTATTATTATTCTCATAAACATATTGTGAACTATTAAAGCAAGATGATAAAGATGTGAATGTCAAAATACGATCTGACGTTGGGTGGCATAGCCCACCAGGGGTAGGAACATGTTTCCCAATATATATTTGATCTTGTATATGGAATAATGGTAATAGCGTTGTTAGTTGTGATGCTTGTCTTCTGTTCTGCTCTTAACCAGGTGTAGAACGATCAGAGACTGCTGCACTGGGAGCTGATATGGTTATTATGACAATAAGTGCAGTTGATGGGTGGACTGAAGATGACACTAAACTTATCAAACGTGTCATGATTGATAAGGTTCCATCAGTTTCATTTTCTCACAAATTTTGTTGATGTCTGATTGCCTGGTTATTGGTTTGCATGCCTTCTGTTTGAAATCCTCTCTGTCCCTTCCATCATCTGTAAATAAATTGGAGAGTGACTATTCTTTCTTTGTCCTTTTTGATGATCAGAAAAGCTCAGGTTCTGAAGTGCCAATGGTTCTGGTTATCAACAAGGTAGACTGCACACCATTTGTTTCAGGAGAAGAGTTTGAGAAATTCAGTGGAATTTTCAGAAAACATGTGCACACGTGTGCAGTCACTGGTAAAGGCATTTCTGAGTTGGAGAGGGCTGTAATAGAGGTTAGAGGTCTTGAGTCCATACCTTCCGGGGGACGGCGGTGGACTGTAAACCAGGTAAATATTTCCGTATGCCATCAGTAGAAAACCCCAGTAGTTGTTCTCTTAGACTTGTTGCTTCAGTTGTTACATGAAAGATTGTTGACTTTTATCCAATTCCATTGTGTTGTCCAGAGACAATTGGAACAGCTCATGAGGACCCAAGAAGCTTTCACAAGACTAGAGTCGTCGATCAATGAGCAGCTACCCTTAGATTTTTGGACTATAGACTTGAGGGAAGCTGCATTGGCTCTGGCAACAATCAGCGGAGAGGACATATCTGAAGAAGTTCTGAGCAGCATATTCAGCAAATTCTGCATTGGAAAATGATTCGTCCTTCAGAATCATGCTGGTCCTCAGTCATTCCGACAATTTTGACTTTTGAGCAGCGTAGTAACATAGAACGATCTGAACAAGCCCAGTAGCTATCTAAAGGAGCAATGAAATTGAACTATTTTCTGGACGGGGTCAAAGATTTATAGGTCGGGATTACTGCTGTCACTGTTCCAAATTTGTACTCTAGGTCTGAGATGTGTTTGGGCCCAGTTTAACTTCATAATAGGAAATTGTATTTTTAGATCATGCACAAATCGAAAGAATGTAAATACCTATTACGATCATGCAAAAATAGGAAGAATGACTAGCTCGTGTTTGTGATGCTAACGGCTGCATGCCACAACTTCACTAATTTCTCACATAGTATTAGCAGTTGTAAAGCATGGTTGCTCTTATTACAGCCGACAATAAAAAGTTTGAATTTCAATTCATCTGAAGGGGTGTGCCCATTTGCCGGGTTCTGTTGGTTTTGACAATCTTCTCAACCGGTTTAATTTTCTTCTTTTACCCTGTTCTGTCACCTGTTTTTTTCTTGATTATTTATTCCCCTCTTTTTAAGTACTCCTGCTGTAAAGAAATATAAGAGAATTAGATCATTAAAATCTATTTCTTTACAGCGGGAGTACTTCATAATTGCATACATATTAAAACAAAATATGCATGATAATTAAAACTTTGCAGGATCACAAAACACATAATTGACAACGTATCAAATTCAAGTTCAATCATCCATATCAAATTCAAATCCAAACACAATCATTGTGCATCACAAACAAAAGCAAAAGCAAAAGTGCATAAAACATGAATGGATAGCCTCTCAAACGTGGCTGGTTCACCCACCCATTGCTGGGTGCCAGACAATCTCTCTTCATCGTCGTAAAAGTAGATGCCCAAAAAGTTTTGAGAAAAATTCTGCAATTTGGTACCCTAAAAATTTGGCCTTCTTCCTTTTTTACTTCGCAATTGCATACATATTGAAACAAACACATGACGGCATGATTAAAACTTTGCAAGATCACAACACATATGATCATCAACATATCAAATTCAAGTTCAATCATCCGTATATCAAATTCAAATTCAAACCACAATCATTGTGCATCGCAAACAAAAACAAAAGTGCATACAAAATGAATGCATAGCCTCTCAAATGGCATTGCCTTCATTGCCATTAGTTGTGCTTGCATCTTCTTCATGGCTTGCTTCCTCTCCATTGATTGCTTCTTCTCCAATGCCACCATTGACATCATTGGCAGTTTGGCACCATTGTTTTTCATTCCCATCCATTGCACCACCCATGCCTCTTCCCATGGCGCCCATGGCTCCTCTCATGCCTCCCATGAATCCTCCCATCATGAAGCCTCCAATAGACCTCACCGCCAACACTTGATCGCGACAAAGCTCCACGTATGCTTTCGCCTTGTCACCAAGACCACTTGTGTCCATGAACATGAACTTTTGCTCTTGTTCAATGCTTTTGATTCTCTCTTCCATGACCACATTCCTTTCCTCAACCTCCGTCTTCTTCTCCTCGGTCGCCGCCCTCCTCTCCTCGGCTGCCGTCCTCCTCTCCTTGCCCTTGATATATGTGATGCATAGTACTTTGATATATATTTTTCTTAGTGGCATTATTATTCCACTTGTCCTGAAATGTTTCCTGAGTTTGTGTTGTTTGTAGTGCTGCACAAAGATATAATGGTGGATATAATTAATTGGGCCAGGTGCTAAAGCATATATCTCTAGTTACAGTTCACTCTGTTTACCATGAGGGGGATTATGATTATCATAGGGTAAGGTTGTCACACTTATGAGCTCATTAGGCTGAACAAAATGACATGTTAAAAAGATAACTGAGACTGCAAGAATTGACAACATTAAAAAGACATGGGTAGGTGGACGTGTGCAATAAAGTTCGATATTTACCATTCATGTCGGTTGCACTCTTAGTTGTAACACATTTTCCCTGCAAATAAAATATATAAACAGGAAGATTAGCTTGCAATGCTGCAGCTGAAACTGAAACTGACATATCTACAAATGCCTCCAAAGAAACAAAAAACCTGACCAATATATCTGATCCTAAAAAGGGAAAAATATAACCAAATAAAAGTATTGAAAGAAGAACACTAATCAGAGGAGGAATTGTCTATTTCCAGCATGGGTACTCACTGCGCATGCTTGGAAAGAAAAAAAGCATTGCTTAGTAAGCGCGGATCTGGGAGTTAACAAATAACATTAATGGAAATTAATGATTGACGGCAACAACATATTCTATTATTTTGCTGATTACCAAAAAAAGTTAAATAAAACGCACTCTTACTTTGCTGTTACAAACTGAATAGATGGTGTGCATCCATGATTTTCTGTATGAACATTACTGAATTTTTGTCCATCTTTAGTTACAGGTGTCGCTTTACGGTCACATCAGCCTAAGTGAAAAAAAAAATGTGCAGCGTCACTTAAATTCACAAGAGACAGAAGAAAAAGAGTGACAATATGGCGTAGAAAATATAGAAGATACACGAGGGGAGAGGAGTGTATCGAGTTACACAGGGAGGGGTAGGGTTCGTGGGGGATTATGGGGACTGAACCCGTGTGAAAACGGCCCACCGAACGGTCCGTTGAGGTTCGACAGGGTTTTTGGGATGGGCCGGGATAATCACGTAAATACTCTCCAAAAACTCTAGTGCCAAACAAGGCCTTGAGAAATTTGTTGGCATTCACCATCACTTGCTGCCTTAGAGTATATCACAAACCTTTCGTTAACAGTGTAACCATGGTGGGTGCATTTACTGCCATGTTTGGGAGATGATGAGTGCTCTCTCCTACCAAGTTGATGTGCTGCAGGCGTCATTTACAAAGTTTAATTATCTATGAGTTGAACTTACTGATACTTTACATTTTATCATCTTGTTACTTGGTTTGCTTAAGAGTGAAAAAGAATGAGGATACTGAACGAAGTACCCAAAAAGAAAAACTCTGGAAAAGGGGATTTACACGTGGTGTAGAGCCAAAAATAATTATACTGGGAAAACAATATCAAGCTAGCACTTCTGCAATTCCACAGCAGGACGATTTTATTCATAAAACTGGGAAGAATTCTAATGGCACTAACACTGAGTTACACAGTAGGAGCATATCAGCTAAGCTAATGAACGCCAACTAAAATGACACTTAACAATGATGCATAGAAACAGTGAATTCGTTTTGCATGGAGTAAGTTCAGCATAAATACTGCCACAAAATTTCACAGCGTAGCTTTTGTTAGTTACATTTTCCAAATTCAAGAAGAAACAATTAAAGTACTCACTGTTCTTGTCATTTGAGAAGTCAGCTAGAAACTGCCGATATCAACTCGAATTGATCTTCTTCATGAGATCCTCTCAATGTATCCAGTTCTTCATCCCATGAAAATTTAGATGTTGGACGGTACCCTTCGTCCTTCATGTGTTTAGCGAGCCTTCTCAACTCTGTATTTATATTTTCCGCCTCAGGATGTTGCTGCTCCCCAACAACAAACACATGAATTCTGCTGTTAAGCTCAACCCAGCTGCATCCTGGATCTTTGCTAACTCCCCGATGTCTCATCAAATGCCTCACCCGCTCAACATCAGTCCATTTTCTCTGGGCAGCATAGATGTTTGACAACAATATATATGCAGAGGAGTCCCCAGTACCTAACTCCATCAGCTGCTCACCAGCATATGCTCCGACATCAAAATCCCGTATACTGCGACATGCTCCCAATAATATACGCCACAAACATGTTCCATGGTCAATACTAATGGACTCTATGAAATCTTTTGCTTCATTTAGCATCCCTGCTCGGCTAAGAATATCAACCATGCAAGCATAATGATCCAGCCGAGGAGTTAAACCATAGTCTTTGGTCATTGACCTAAAGTAAATCCATCCTCTGTCAACTAGGCCCATGTGACTACAAGCACATAACACATTAATGAATGTTATATGATCTGGAGCAGTGCCCTCTAGCTTCATTTCCTCAAACAGGTCAAGTGCTTCATTTCCACGTCCATTTTGAGAGAATCCAGAAATGATCGAGTTCCATGCAATAACATCCTTATGAGGCATCCTTCTGAATACAACCATGCCATCGTCAAGGTTTCCACACTTTGAATACATTGTAGACAAGGCACTTCCGACAGAAGACCCCAAACCAAATCCGAACTTGAGGATTTGCGTGTGCAATTGCTTCCCTGGCTCCAATGCTGCAAGGCCAGCACATGCTCTAAGAACACTGGTTATAGTCAAGTTAGTCGGAATGATGCCCTCCTTGTCCATCCTGGCATACAATCTCAAGGCTTCCTCATGCTCCCCGTTCTGCACATGCCCGGCAACCATGGCCGTCCAAAGGACAATGTCAAGCTCATGAAATTGATCAAAACCTTCCTTTGCATCAGTAATACAGCCGCATTTGGCATACATGTCCACCAGTGCGCTCTTCACATACACCTGCGCCTCAAACCCAAGCTTCACCATCAAACCATGTGTCTGCTTTCCTTCCATCAATGCTCCCACATCACTACACGCATTGAGCACCCCAACCAAAGTGAACTCAGTTGGTGAAAACCCCGCAGAAAGCATCTGCAAGAACATTCTAAATGCGCTTTCTGCATTCCCATTCTGCGCGTAGCCAGTGATCATCGCGGACCAAGTGATGGAGTTCCTCTCCTTAGACGACGCAAACACATGTAATGCTGCATCCATACACCCAGCCTTTGCATACATTGTGACGAGCGAGTTCTCAACCGACACAAACACCACCAACCCATCCTTCACAGCCAACCCATGTAGCTGCACCCCCATCGGCAAGCCCGACGGCACACTGACCGCACTAAGAACAGCCGTGGCCACAAACTCGTTTTTCTGTGACGGGCACTCCGCAAGCATCAGCTGGAAGATCTCAAAGGCCTCCTCGGAGCACTTTGTGGAAGCATAGCCTGCCACCATAGCGGCCCAAGAGAACTCGTTCCGCACCGGCATTTCGTCGAACACTCTCCGGGCATCGGGGACGAGGCCCAGCTTACAGTACATGTTGAGCAGAGAGGTGGACACGAACACGTTGGAGCCAGCCGAGGGGACCTTGCAAGCGAGGGCGTGGGCGGCTGCCCCGGCGGACGCGGAGCGCGCGCGGGCGGCGGCCGTGAAGACGGCGGCGAAGGAATGCGGGGACGGGAGGATGGCGGGCGAGGAGGAGAAGAGCATGGATTGGAAGTGGGAGAGCGCGGCGCGCGGGTGGTGGTGCGAGAGCGGGTTGAGCAGGGAGTTCCAGGAGGCGATGTCGCGGGCGGCGGCGGGGATGCCCGCGAAGACGGCCAGGGCCGCGGCGAGGAGCGGCCGCGGGAGGGAGGCGTAGAAGGTGATGAGGGAGTTGGAGACGGGCGCGTGGGACGCGGCGCCGGACTTGAGCGCCCAGGCGTGGAGCGCCTCGCCGTCGCGGGCGCGGGCGGCGCGGCGGAGCTGCTCGATGAAGTGCGTGTGGGATATCTGGCGCGCGGAGGCGGAGGGCGCCGCGCCTGCCATTCACGTGCGGGCGGGCGGCGAGCGGGCGGCGACGGCGAGCGGCGAGCGGGTGGCCGGGGCGAGCGGCGACGGCGAGCAGGCGGCCGGGGCAGGCGGCGAGCGGGCTGGTGCCTCGAGCGGCAGCTATAACCTGAAAATAAAACAAATAAAAGAGGTGCAAATGGTGTAGTCTCTCCTTTCTGGTTAAAAAAAAACTCATGGACAATTTGATCAATAAAATACTACAAATTATATATCATTAAAAATGGAATTTTTACATGGGAGCGCCTATACATCAGGCACCTGGAAAAGTTATTCCATCAATCACTTTTATCTTAGACCGCTAGATCTTCATCCAACGGCCCAAAACAGATTGAATATTGTTTATCTTTAACCACTTATCCTTCTTTCTCGCGTAGCACGGGCCTATCCAGACCTACCCGCATGCCTATGCCCATCGCGGCCGGCGGCTGTCGTCGCCTCACCACCCTGCCCTTCCCTCGACCTCGCTCCATCGCCGTGTTTGCCGCCTCCCCGCCCATCTGTCAGCAGTCCTGCACTGATGAGCAGCCCCCCTGCACCCTCCCTGCCCC